CTGCAGAAAAACGGTCACGACAAACGGTACCCGGATGGCACCGGCAGACGAACGAAACACTGTAGGCGAGCGGTCGTGTCTCAGATGCCTAAGAAGATACAGTTGCACAACCGAAGCAGACCGCACAAGCCGACCAATCATATTTCGTCGTTTCTGGCTGACAGCAGCAAACCACGAGTCGGCTTTGCCGGCTTGGACTGCATCAGTGAGGGCTATCTGAGCGACATTTCCACGCTGACCGAATACAGTCGGACCGGCAGCCAGAAAATGGCACACAAGGAGGTGGAGAAAGGTTCTAAAAACGGTCTGGATTGCAACGACGTTTGCAGCATCTCTTTGTTACCGAGCGACGACCGACCCGTATGAACGGCGAGACAGCAAGCCCTGGAACGTATATTTTCTCGTGCAAAGCTGTACGAAGTCGCATCGCAAGGAGTACGTCGTCTTTGAAGCGTAGGATGTGCAAGTTCTCGGTGCTGACCAGCTGGTGATGGTGGTCGTCTTTTATTTACCACCAGCCGCTGTCCGACCATTCGGTTGTCTCGAAACTCCTTTCGCCTCGCCGGATGGTCATCGGCCTGACTTGCTTCGAAGAATACGCGGCCAGTGACCCTACGTACGAAAACGACTTTCGTCCTTTCTACTAGACTGCGCCCGTGTGCCTTTGTTGACCATGGCTTTGCTGCTGACCTTTTTAGCAATGAATACGAACGTTTTTGTAAATTTTCTAAATTTTCTCCTAATATAAAATATTAAAGCTTATTGGCGCATATACCGGCTTTAGAAAATATTGTATCTCAAGTCTAGGAATTCGGGTTTATTCCATAATTCGATTCAAACAGTTTTACTGACTGGTGACAAATGGAACCCCGATGTTCCGGAGAGCTATCGATACCGCCGCTGAAGATACCACATTAAAATATTGTACCGGATTGAAACGGCGTAAATGCACAGTGTAAAGAAAGAAAAATCAATTTCTCTCTTTAAACCCGCAGCTGATTGCACCGTCCCCTTGCTCCTAGACGCGTAGGGGGACCATTTAAGCGGGTCACAGCTCCATGGTATTTAAGCGCCTGCAGTGCGTAGGACACAGGACCGCATCTCGAACATGGGTTGAACGAAAGTATGTCCAACAAAGAAACAACGCTACGATCCGTAGGAGAAAGAGTGACTAAATGGAACCCCGATATTCTGGGGAGTTTATCGAGTGGTGTTCTACAGTTTCACCACTTATTACATCTGTTAATTCATTGCTCATAATTTTTGATTTCTAAGCGATAAAAATGATCTCATTGTTCACGGCGGTATTTTGAATGGAAAGAGTCGAAGAGAGCGAAGGCCGCTTTCCAAATTACTCATTAAATTATAATTACCTTTTCCATGTTAGTGCCAAAGAATCTGAAATTATATTTACGCAGCCTCGTACAACGTTGATCGTTAAAGCTTTCAGAGCACTATTTACTTTCTTCATACTTTTTATGAACGCATAACCGGATCATCACAAAATATAATATTTAATATCGTTTTTGCTATAGAATGCATGATCGCAAGTAGCTTAAAACACGGTCTGCTTAGACAACGCAAACAACATGGCCAGTCAGACGGTTGACCAGTACCAACCTACTTTTGAGTCTGTCTCACAGGCCTTCTTGAAGGTCAAGGAGCTGGACGACTTCGGAAGTCATCTTCTAGTTGGTACTTACTTTCAGAGCCAAGAAGCCAGTGAGACTTCGGTCGAAATGCCGGTGCTGTTGAATCATCCAACTGTTTACGTTGTTTACAATAAACCATATTTTATGCTGTTTTTCAGTATGGCCACGAACGCACGAACCAAATTCTCGATCATAGGATAGTTGTTTACTGATGAGCGTGAAACACGCTAGTTGATTAGTGCGCACTAAGAATATTTGTTGACTTTGTGCTTATTGATGCTGTAAACAGAAGCTGTGAAGCTCACTTTTGGCGTCCACTCCAAGCTATTCATCGAAATCGACAATTTCTCCGCTATGGCACCCTTAAAACCAAGGGTACCCTTAAATTACAAAGTCTAGTGCAGAAAATCTTCATAAATAAATATTTTATCGGGTTTCTGATTCTGGGCCCATAGCTACATACATAGTTGTTGATACATTTATTGTTGATGTATACATAGTTGAATGATTCATGGATCGGGGCATTAAATACAGCAGATGGTAAACAGTTTAATGCCAACGCGTTTCACCGCACAGAACTTAGCTGCACCAGGGCTGGACTGAGTACAAATGACTGTTTGAAGGCACTTATGCCCAACAAGCGAACAATGCTAATTTTACAACTGGATCGTCGCATACAGCAAAGACGTTGCATTGACTGAACAAAGTGTTTTGTCACATCAAAATAAGTCGGATCTTTGTCCTTTTGATCCGATTGGGTTGCGTTTCAATTTTGTGATTGCTAATTTTCAGCTTCCACTGATAATAACAGAAGAGGTGTATTCTTTGCACATCCGACTGGTCATTGCCAGTACAGTAAAGCGTTAATAATCCGGATGGCCTAATCACGAATTAAAGCAAATTTTCTGCGGAGCGAGAATCGCAACCAGATTTAAAGGGAACGCGTTCGCATTTCTCTTTACTAATCCGTTTGCATTTGGGTTCAACCACGAGCGAGTGGGATGTGGGAGGGGTGAATTGGTAAACTGGTCGTTGGCTCCTCCAATGATAGGAGGGGCTAACGTCGGCGAAAGTGAGACTTCCAGTGCTGCTAAGTTCAGTTACGTGAAGAGAGTTGCGCATTTTTTGGTTGCTATTCTGATCGTGTTTCGCATAACCCGTTTATTTTTACACAGATCTTTATCTGTACTTATTGGACTGAAATGGCATCGGCAAGATCAGGCAAGAAGAAACATAACGTTTAAACAATCGAGAAAAACGTTTTATATATATATATAAAATGTCATTGTCATTTAAAATGTCCACAGCTCGGTTGGTCACAGTTTTGTTAGGGTGATGTTTCTCACTGAAAACCTGCACTTCACTCCACTTGCTGAAAATTTCTTTGATCTCAGCACTTGAATCATGTGCCACCTGTTCCTCCTCCTCTTCTGAGGGCTTCTCCTGCATAACTTTCATTTGTTCACGTTGCAAATCAACAAGTTCT